AGGCGCTGCGGGCGAGCGGCCGCGGGCGCCGCATCGGCGTCTTCAGCAAGGACAAGTTCCCGGGGGACTTCATGCGCAGCTGGAACGAGTGCCTGGCCCGCGAGGGCTTCGAGAAGGTGAGCGGCCCCAAAATGCCCTTAAATGTCCCCGAAATGCCCTCAGATGCACTAAAACGTCTCCAAAACGCCCTTAAATGCACTGAAGTGCTCCCAGAACACCCCCAAAATGCTTTCAAGTGCACCAAAATGCCCCCCCAAACAGCCCCAAAATGCCCTCAGATGCACCAAAATGCCCCTGAACGTCCCCAAGATGCCCTCAAAGGCACCGAAATACCCCCAAAGCGCCCTCAGATGCACCAAAACACCCCTGAACGCCCCAGAGCTGCCCCAAAATGCCCCGAAATGCCCCTGAACCCCCCCAAAATGCCCCCAACCCACCCCAAATATCCCCCCAAGCACCCACAAATGCCCCTGAACACTCCAAAACACCCTTGAATACCCCAAAATGCCACTGAATCACCCCCAAACGGCCCCATTGCCCCTGAAACATCCCCAAATGTCCGTCAGAACACCCCAAAATGCCCTTGAGTAGCTTCGAGTGCCCTCAAAATGCCCCGAAATGCCCTCAAACACCCCTAAACACTCCCAAAAGTCCCTGAAACTCCCCCGAACACCCCCCAAAATGCCCCAAACTGCCCTGAAATGCCCCGGAAGTGCCCCTGAACACCCTAAAATCCTTCTGAAACTCTCCCAAACACCAACAAACGCCCTGAAATGCCCCCAAATGCATCTGAACCCCCCTGGAACACCCTCAGAACTCCCCCGAGATGCCTCGAAATGCCCTCAAACTTCCCCCAAACGCACTGAAATGCCCCTAAACACCCTGAAACACCCTTAAAATGCTCTCAAACTCCCTCCAAACGCCCTGAAATGCCCCCAAAACGCCCCTGAACGCTGCAAACGCCCCCTGAATGCCCCCAAAATGCCCCTGAACGCCCCCAACACGTCCCCAAAGGCCCCGAACACCCCCTGAACGCTGCAAATGCCCCCAAAACACGCCTGAAACTCCCCCAAAACACCCTCAAAACGCCCTCAAAACATCCCCAAACACCCCCAAAATGCCCCGAACACCCCCTGAATGCCTCAAAACGCTTCCAAAACACCCCTGAAAATCCCCTGAAATACCCGGAACACCCCCAAAATGCCCCAAACGCCCCCTGAACACTGCAAATGCCCCCTGAACGCCTCAAATGCCCCCAAAACACCCTTGAAACTCCCTCAAAACGCCCCAAACTGCCCCGAAACGCCCTCCAAACGCCCGAAACGCCCCCCAACGCGGCGCCTGCCCGCAGGTGGACATCAGCGCGGTGGTGGCGGCCACCATGGCGGTGAAGGAGGACGGGGAGCTGCAGCTCATGCGCAAGGCGGCCACCATCACCTCCGAGCTCTTCAACAAGTTCTTCAAGGAGCGCGTCATGGAGATCGTCGACGCCGACGAGGTGCGCGGCACCGCAACCGCGTCACCCGGTCACCGCGGCACCCGGTCACCGCGTCACCCGGCACCGCGTCACCCGGTCACCCTGTCACCCATCCCACATCACCCGGTCACCGTGACCCTCTCTCCCTTCCCCTTCCCTCCCTCCCTCCCTCTCTTCCCCCTCCGTCCCTCCTTTCCTCCCCCCTCTTCCTCCCTCCTTCCTCCCGCTTCGGCCCGTGCAGAAGGTGCGCCACAGCAAGCTGGCCGAGGCGGTGGAGAAGGCCATCGAGGAGAAGAAGTTCCTGGCGGGCGCCGAGCCCTCGGCCGTGGAGATGTGCTACCCGCCCATCATCCAGAGCGGCGGCCACTACAGCCTCAAGTTCAGCGTGGTCAGGTGGGCGCCGGCGCCGCCGTTCCCGCCCGGAGCGCGCGCGCGGAGCCGGAGCTGGGGGCGGAGCCGAGCGCGGCGCTTCCCTCGCGCAGCGACAAGAACCACATGCACTTCGGCGCCATCACGTGCGCCATGGGCATCCGCTACAAGTCCTACTGCTCCAACCTGGTGCGCACGCTCATGGTGGACCCGCCGCAGGACATGCAGGACAACTACTGCTTCCTGCTGCAGCTGCAGGACGAGCTGCTCAAGGAGCTGCGGCACGGTGAGCGCCGCGCCGCGTTGGGTCGCGTTGGGTTGCGTTGGGTCGCGTTGGGTTGGGTAGACGCATTGGGTTGCGTTGGGTTGTGTTGGGTTGGGTAGACGCATTGGGTTGTGTTGGGTTGTGTTGGGGTGTGTTGGTTCGCGTTGGGCCATATTGTGTCACGTTGGTGCATTGACTCCTGTTGGGTCGCGTTGGGCTGCGTTGCATCACGTTGATGCGTTGGGTCGCGTTGGGTTGTGTGGAGTTGCGTTGGGTTGTGTTGGGCTGCATTGCGTCACGTTGATGCGTTGCGTCGCGTTGGGTCGCATTGACCCATTGGATCCCGTTGCGTCGCGTTGGGTGGTGTTGAGCATTGTGTTGATGCGTTGGGTCTCGTTGGGTCCCATTGGGTCCCGTTGGGTTGCGTTGAGTGTTGTGTTGAGCGTTGGGTTGCGTTGATGTGTTGGGTCCCGTTGGGTTGCGCTGATGCGTTGGGTGCCATTGGGTCCTGTTGGGTCCCGTTGACATGTTGGGTCCCATTCGGTCCCGTTGGGTCCCGTTGAGTCCCAGTGGGTCCCGTTGGGTTGCATTGATGCGTTGGGTGCCATTGGGTCCTGTTGGGTCCCACTGATGTGTTGGGTGCCATTGGGTCCTGTTGGGTCCCGTTGATGCGTTGGGCCCCGTTGGGTCCCATTCGGCCCCGTTGGGTCCCATTCGGCCCCGTTGGGTCCCATTGGGTCCCGTTGAGTTGCGTTGACCCGTTGGGTCCCATTGGGTCCCGTTGGGTTGCGTTGACCCGTTGGGTCCCATTGGGTCCCGTTGGGTTGCGTTGACCCGTTGGGTCCCATTGGGTCCCGTTGGGTTGCGTTGACCCGTTGGGTCCCATTGGGTCCCGTTGGGTTGCGTTGACCCGTTGGGTCCTGTTGGGTCCCGTTGGGCCGCGTTGGCGCGTCGGGCTCCCCGCAGGTGCCCGCCTCTGCGACGTCTACGCCGCCGTCATGGACCTGGTGAAGAGGCAGAAGCCGGAGCTGCTGGGCAAGATCACCAAGAACCTGGGGTGAGGCGGCCGTGGGGTGGCCGTGGGGCGGCCATGGGGCGCGCGGGCGCCGCCAGCTGCACATCTGTCCCCCCGCAGCTTCGCCATGGGCATCGAGTTCCGCGAGGGCTCCCTCGTCATCAACAGCAAGAACCAGCAGCGCCTCAAGAAGGGTGAGCGGGGACCCTCCGCGCGCGGGCGCGTCCCCCCCGCGGCGGCCTCCAACGCGGCCTCCAACGCGGCCTCCGTCGCGGCCTCCAGGCATGGTGTTCAGCGTCAACATCGGCTTCTCGGAGCTGCCCAACAAGGAGGGCAAGAAGCCTGAGGAGCGCACGTACGCCATGTTCGTGGGCGACACGGTGCTGGTGGACGAGGTGAGCGCGGCAGGGGGACCACGACAGCGAGGGCAGCGACAATGGGGACCGTGACAATGGGGCAGCGACAATGGGGCAGCGACAATGGGGCAACGACAATGGGGACCACAGTGGGGGCCATGACAATGGGGACCACGACAATGGGGCAACGACAATGGGGACCGCCATGGGGACCACGACAATGGGGACCACAACAATGGGGCAGCGACAATGGGGGCCTCGACAATGGGGACCACAGTGGGGGCCATGACAATGGGGACCACAATGAGGACCACAATGGGGACCACAGCAACAATGGGGACCACGACAATGGGCACAGCAACAACAATGGGGACAATAACAACAATGGGGACCCCGACAATGGGGACCCCGACAATGGGGACCCCGACAATGGGGACCCCAACAATGGGGACCCCAACAATGGAGACAACTCCACTGGGGACAACAACGGGGTCCATTGTGTCCCTGGGCGCAGGACGCCCCGGCCACCGTCCTCACAACCGTCAAGAAGAAGGTCAAGAACGTCGGCATCTTCCTCAAGGTGGGGAGCGCGGGTGGGGGTGGCGGTGCCTTCCTCCCCTGTCCTTGACCTTCCTCCCCTGTCCTTGACCTTCCTCCCCTGTCCTTGACCTTCCCCCTGTCCCCCCGCCCAGAACGAGGACGAGGAGGAGGAGGAGGAGGAGAAGGACGAGGCGGAGGACCTGCTGGGCCGCAGCTCCCGGGCGGCACTGCTCACCGAGCGCACACGGGTGAGGCCCCCCGGCCGCGGTGCCGCCCCCCTCCCACCCCGGTGCCTTCCTCCGCACCGCCGCCGCATCCTCTTCCTCGCAGAACGAGCTCACGGCCGAGGAGAAGCGCCGGGCCCACCAGAAGGAGCTGGCCATGCAGCTCAACGAGGAGGCCCGCCGGCGCCTCACCGAGCAGAAGGGCGAGCAGCAGATACAGAAGTGAGGCCGGGGCCTCGAGACCCAGCGCCAAGGGCCTCGGCCTCCTCCTCACCTCCTCCTCGTCCCCGCGCAGGGCCCGCAAGTCCAACATCTCCTACAAGAACCCGGCGCTCATGCCCAAGGAGCCGCACATCCGCGAGATGAAGATCTACATCGACAAGAAGTACGAGACCGTCATCATGCCCGTCTTCGGCATCGCCACCCCCTTCCACATCGCCACCATCAAGGTGGGACCTCCAGGGCCACGGGAGGGTTTCGGGGGGGTCTCCTGGCCTTCCTCACCCTCCTCTTCGGCCGCAGAACATCAGCATGTCGGTGGAGGGCGACTACACCTACCTGCGCATCAACTTCTACTGCCCGGGCAGCGCCCTGGGCCGCAACGAGGGCAACATCTTCCCCAACCCCGAGGCCACCTTCGTCAAGGAGATGTGAGTGAGCGGCCACCCCCTCGTCCCCATCCCCGCGCGCGTCCCCCCAAACCGTCCCCGGCGTCACCTCGTGCCCGCAGCACCTACCGCGCGTCCAACATGAAGACGCCGGGCGAGCAGACGGTGCCGGCGCTCAACCTGCAGAACGCCTTCCGCATCATCAAGGAGGTGCAGAAGCGCTACAAGACGCGCGAGGCCGAGGAGAAGGAGAAGGAGGTGAGCGGGGCGGCCGGGCGCCCGCGGCGTCGGCGCCATCGCCGCCCGCTGCCCTCCCTCCTCTTCCTCCCCAGGGCATCGTCAAGCAAGACTCGCTGGTCATCAACCTCAACCGCAGCAACCCCAAGCTCAAGGACCTCTACATCCGCCCCAATATCGCGCAGAAGAGGATGCAGGGCTCGCTGGAGGCTCACGTCAACGGTACGAGGATGGGGCGCCGGCGGGGCGCGGCGCTGGCGGGACGCGGCACTGAGGCTCCTGTGCGCCCCAGGCTTCCGCTTCACCTCGGTGCGCGGCGACAAGGTGGACATCCTCTACAACAACATCAAGCACGCCGTCTTCCAGCCCTGCGACGGCGAGATGATCATCGTCTTGCACTTCCACCTCAAGGTTGGCATGTGGCGCCTCCACAGCGGGGCTGCGGCCTCGACGTTGGGTCTTGAGGCCTCGACGTTGGGGCTGGGGACTCGGCGTTGGGGCTGGGCCCTCGACGTTGGGTCCTTGGCCCTCGACGTTGGGTCCTTGGCCCTCGATGTTGGGGCTGGGGACTCAGTGTTGGGTCCTTGGCCGTCAACGTTGTGTCCTTGGCTCTCAGCGTGGGGTCTTGGCCCTCAGCGTTGGGTCCTTGACCCTCAACGTTGGGGCTGGGGCCTCAGTGTTGGGTCCTTGGCCCTCGACATTGTGTTTTTGGCCCTCAGCGTGAGGTCTTGGCCCTCAGCGTTGGGTCCTTGACCCTCAACGTTGGGGCTGGGGCCTCAGTGTTGGGTCCTTGGCCCTCGACGTTGGGTCCTTGGCCATCCATGTTGGGACTTGAGGCCTCAACATGGGGTCCTTGACCTTTCATGTTGGGTCTTCAGCCCTCCATGTTGGGTCTCGGGCCTTCAAGTTTGGTCATGGGACCTCAGCGTTGAGTCCTGGCCCTCAGTGTTGGGTCTTGGGCTCTCCCGTTGAGTGTCTGGCCTCAACATTGGGTGTTTGTCTCTCAAGGTTGGGTCTCTGGGCCTTGATGTTGGATCCTTGGTCTTCAACGTTGAGTCCTTGGGCCTCAACATTGGGTCTTGGGCCCTCAGCGTTGGGTCTAGGCCCTCAGCGTTGAGTCTTGGACCCTTGACATTCGGCCTTGGCCCTCAGTGTTGGCTCTTGGCCCTCAATGTTGGGTCCTTGGCCCTCAATGTTGGGTCCTTGGCCCTCAATGTTGGGTCCTTGGCTCTCAGCGTGAGGTCTTGGCCCTCAGCGTTGGGTCCTTTACCCTCAACGTTGGCTCTTTGGCCCTTAATGTTGGGTCTTTGGCCCTCAGTGTTGGGTCTGGGGACCTCAGCGTTGGGTCGGGGGCCTCGCCCTGGGCCCACCCCCCCAAGGGAGCCAGTGTGAGGGGACACCCGGGCCCGGGCGGCGCCTCAGCGGCCTCCCCCGCGCCCCAGAACGCCATCATGTTCGGCAAGAAGCGCCACACGGACGTGCAGTTCTACACGGAGGTGGGCGAGATCACCACGGACCTGGGCAAGCACCAGCACATGCACGACCGCGACGACCTCTACGCCGAGCAGGTGAGGCCGGGGCGGCCGCGGCGAGGACGAGGAGGGAGGCCCGGCCGCGCCCGTCCCACCCTTCCCACCCTGTCCCGCCGCGCCGCCCGCAGATGGAGCGGGAGATGCGCCACAAGCTCAAGACGGCCTTCAAGAACTTCATCGAGAAGGTGGAGGCGCTCACCAAGGAGGAGCTGGAGTTCGAGGTGCCCTTCCGCGAGCTGGGGTAAGGGCCGCGGGGTCCCCGCGGGGTCCCCGGGTGTCCCCGCGTTGTCACCACGGCGTCCCCGCGTTGTCACCGGGTGTCCCCGCGTTGTCCCCGCAGGTTCAACGGGGCGCCCTACCGCAGCACGTGCCTCCTGCAGCCCACCAGCAGCGCCCTGGTCAACTGCACCGAGTGGGTGAGTGGGGGGCGCCCCGGGGGGGCCGGGCACCCCGTCACCCCGTCACCCCGTCACCGTGTCCCCCCCGCAGCCGCCGTTCGTGGTGACGCTGGACGAGGTGGAGCTCGTGCACTTCGAGCGCGTCCAGTTCCACCTCAAGAACTTCGACCTGGTCGTGGTCTACAAGGACTACGGCCGCAAGGTCACCATGATCAACGCCATCCCCGTGGCCTCGCTCGACCCCATCAAGGAGTGGCTCAAGTGAGCGCCGCTTCCCCGCGATTCCCGGCGATTCCCGACGTTTCCCGACACGTCCTGACGCTTCCCAGTGCCCTTTCCTGCCTCTCCTTCCCGCCCTTTCCCCTATTTTCTGCTCCTTCTTCCCACCTCTTTCCATCTATTCCCACTCTTTCCCGCCCTTTCCCACCTCTTCTTCCCGCCCTTTCCCACAATTTTCCCACCGTTGCCGGCAGCTCCTGCGACCTCAAGTACACGGAGGGTGTCCAGTCGCTCAACTGGACCAAGATCATGAAGACCATCGTGGACGATCCCGAGGGATTCTTCGAGCAGGGCGGCTGGTCCTTCCTGGAGCCCGAGGGCGAGGTGAGGCCGGTGCCTCCCGTTGGGAATTGCCGGCATTCCCGGCGGTATTCCCGGCGTTATTCCCGCGCAGGGCAGTGACGTCGACGCCGGCGAGTCCGAGTCGGAGATGGAGGACGAGACCTTCAACCCGTCCGAGGAGGACTACGAGGAGGAGGAGGAGGACAGCGACGAGGACTACTCCTCCGAGGCCGAAGAGTCGGGTAGGGCCCCGCTTCCCGCTTTTCCCACCCCCTTTATCCTGGTTTTCCGGGCCCCGGGCGGGCGCTGACGCTTGCTTCCCATAGAATATTCCAAGGAATCCCTGGGCAGTGAGGAGGAGAGCGGCAAGGACTGGGACGAGCTGGAGGAGGAAGCGCGGAAAGGTGAGCGCCGGGAATGCCGGGAGCCGCTTCCCACCCGGCCGCAATTCCCGCCCGGATGCAATTCCCACCCGGCCACAATTCCCACTCGGAGCCGCTTCCCACAGCCGACCGCGAGAGCCAGTACGAGGAGGAGGAGGAGCACAGCCGGAGCCGCAAGAGGAAGGCTCCGGCCGCCCGCGGCGCCCGCGGCCCGGCCCGCGCGCCCGGCCCCCCCCGGAAGAAGAGGAAGTAGCCGGGAATGCTGCCCATCCCCCATCCCACGAACTCTTCTCCCGGGGTTTTTCCCACTCCCTTTCCTTTCTCCCGGGGTTTTTGTTTCCGGTTGCGTTTTCCCATTGCTTTTTTTTCCGGCCTTTTCACGGACCAAGGAGCCATCCTGCTCCGCCCCCCCCCCACCTTTTTTTCTCCCGTTTTCCCTCCTTTTCAGATTTAATCAGAATTTTTTGTATCACTCGGCTCCATCCCGTATTTATCGCCGTTCCGCGGCCGCCGCGAGAGGCTCTTCCCTGGGAGCGGGGCGGGAAGAGCGGCGCCTGCTCGCTCTGTTATTATTATTATTATTATTTTTCCCGTTTTTTTGGGGGGTTTTCCGCAGCCGGAAGCTCTTGGGATTTTCAAACTTTGGAAAAGAAACAAAAAATTCCGCCATGTTCAATAAAATGTTTTTTTTTTTTTTTTTTTTTTTTTCTTCCCCCGCCCCGGGGGTTTTCTGTGGTTGTTCCGGTGCCGCTTGGGAATTCCGGGATCAAGGGTGCGGTCGAGGCCAGGATTCCCTCCTGGGCGCTTTTCCTCCCTTTTTCCCCACTTTTCCTCCCGTTTTTCCCTATTTTTCCCCTGCTTTCCCACATTTTCCCCTAATTTCCCCTCTTTTTCCCACTTTCCCCCCTTTTCCCCGCTCCCCCCCGCAACAGGGGCCCCACCCACCACGAGGAACAACCCCCCTCACCTAGGGAAAGCCCCGCCCACATGGAGGTAGCCACGCCTCTTGGGAGTAAGCCCCGCCCACTGCCGAGCCACTCTGCCCCGCCCCCTCAGCCCCTTTCCAAGGTTCCTGGCAGCGAGCCCCACCCACCACGAAAGAAGCCCCGCCCCTTGGGAATCAAGCCCCGCCCCCTCATAGGATTCTCTGGACACTGGAACAAGCCCCGCCCTCCCGGGAACAAGCCTTGCCCATGCATGAGGCCCCGCCCCCACGAGCACTTAGCCCTGGGAGCCCCTCCCCCCTTTCCCCTTATAAGGGAAGCAGTTAATGATATGCACGGGGGCGGTGCCTCTGCTCCCCTCCCCCATCCCATTTGTAAATAACCCCCTCCCCGCCCCCCCCGCTCCTGGGGGCCATTTTCTGCACCCGTGAATTTAAAAAAAAAAAAGAATGAAATAAGAAAAAAAAGGGAAAAAGCAGGGGCAGAGTGTGGCCCCGCCCCGACATCGCCCCTTTAAGGGAGCACTGCCACGGGCTGCGGCGGCCCAGGGGACTGGGAGAAACTGGGAAGTATCGGAGGGTTGGGATTTAAGTGGTAGGGCTCCGAGGGGCTCGGGGAGCCTGGGAGGGGGCACGGCACCCATTCCCCTCCACACGTATATACATCACATCACACATGCATATACGTTCCTGTGCGTGTACATACGTGACATGCACGCCGGCAAGCCCCACCCCCACCCGCCACGGGGGAAATGGGGCAAAAGAGTCGGAAAATGGACTCGGTCCATTGCAGAAAGAGGGGAGGGAGCAGCCAAGGGCGGCCAGAGCGTCGCCCCTGGAGCCGCCTCGGCCCGAGGGCTCTGCGGTTGTCCCGGCCCGAGGGGCCCTGGAGAGCTGCTCTGTGCTGCCCGGTCCTCCAGAGTCTCTATGGTCACTCCATAGAGGCTGGAATCCTCCAAACGCTCTATGGTTGCTGGGTCCTCCAACATCTCTATGGTCATTCCTCCAAGGTCTCTATGGTTGCCTAGCCCACCGAGATTCCTATGGTCAGTCCTCCAAGTTCTCTATGGTTACCGGGTCCTCCAAGATCTCTATGGTCAGCCCTCTGAAGTCTCTATGGTTAATCTTCTGAAGTCTCTATGGTTGCCGAGTCCTCCAAGGTCTCTATGTTTGCCGAGCCCTCCAAGATCTCTATGGTCAGTCCTCCAAGGTCTCTATGGTCATTGAGTCCTCCACCATCTCTATGGTTTCTGAGTTCTGCAACGGCTTTATGGTCAGTCCTCCAATGTCTCTATGGTTGCTCCATAGAGACCAAAGTCCTCCAAGGGACTCCCAGGGGGTTCCTGGGCTCGTGCGCACACAGGCCGTCCTGTCCCCATGGGCATGGATGTCCCGGAGCTCCACGGAAGCCTGGAGGTCCCCCCTGACTCCTGCACGTGGAGGCTGCTGGACACCCCACAGAGGCCTCTAATGTCCCACCAGCCCTTTGCCCAAAGAGGCCCCCTGAGCCCCATATGGACATGTAGGACCCTTCGGGTCTCGTCTACACGGAGACCTCCGTGGCCCCAGAGATGCCCCCAGCACCTCCATGACCACGTGAACACGGAGACCCCGTGGGGCTGCATGATGACACGATGGGGCCCCCAGCACTGTGTGTATGGAGGCCGTGAGAGGGCAGATAAAACCTCTGTGTCCCCCTTATGCTAACAATTATTATTTTTTATACATTATAGGTTCTTCCCCTCATATTGCAGTRTTTCCTTTTTGTCTCCCCACTAATTGTCGTGCCCTCCCCCAGAATTCTTTTCCTTGTAGTTCCATTTCCCACTCCCCCAATCCCTCTCTTTCTTGCCTAACAACTCTTGCTTGCTTCTCCCTCTAATGACTGTTTTTCCACCTGTTTCTGTTTTCCCCTTAATTCTGCCCAGCTGTTTGTATGGATCACGGCAGGGCTGGGCCCAGCCCTCGCAAGGGCAGCAGGTGGGCTCAGGGCTACAGAAACCAGGCCCAGGAGATCAGGGGCTCATCCAGCTCTTGCTTTCCTGTCACGGAACGAGTGGTGGCGGGGGTGACAAATGCACTTCACTCATATGAAAGAAATAACAGAATTTATTAATATGGACAATGATTTCACGAGATTCTATGGCAAGATCAATGATTTTACGAGATTCTATGGCAAGGTCACTTATTATTCACTGCATGGAGGCTCAAGATAATACACATTTATCTTGGGATACTCTCCCGTTGGGTCATGAGGTTCAGATTGGACCCCCTTGCTTTCCAGGCTCCTTCTGAGAGGAGTCTGGGTGCGGCTGAATCCAATCCTAATCCCAGACCTGGTCAACGGTTTATGACTGAGGGTGCTTATGTTACAAAGTAAAGTTAAAGAAAGAGAGAGAGAGAGAGAGAGAGAGAGAGAGAAAGCAAGGAAGAAAGAAAGAAAGAAAGCGCGCTATATTCACTTACCACAAATCTGCGGTGGAAAGGAAGATCTCTCGAGGAACCTCGAGGAGCATTGAGGAGAGAGAGGCGTCCCTGCCCAAGGGGAGATCCTGRTGTGCAGGCSGCAGYCGTGTCAGGAGAGCTCAAAGGGGCTCTCRGGCTGTCYGASTATTTATGGAATAAGATGATTGGCTTGTAGTCATATTTWTAACTTCAAAGACTTAGGTTAGTGTGTCGGCCTTATCTCCCTGTTTACGATGCAGCCTTGAGGACTGTTTTTGTTAAGTCTCAGTGAAAACAGAAATCAGGACGATGGCGCCTGCCAGAATTAGATCGGTCGCTGGTGATCAGCAACAAAACAGGGCTGCATGTAAGGTACAGGCCAGGATGAGCTGGGAAAGGAACGTATCTGTCACATTTCCTAGGATACAGGAGCTCTGGGTTGGGCTCAGCAATAGCAGCCCCTGAGGGAGCTCTGCTCTACTGAAAAATTCATTGCTGTGTTAGAAAAAAAAAGGAAGATTTTCCGAGCAAGACCACTGAAGGGCAGAAGCTGAATTTGAGAGATGAGAACAGCTTTAGATTTTCTATCTTCCTAGATTACTCCTTTGGTCTTTTGCGGTCCTAATTTTATGTCTAGACACTAAAGAAGTTTTTGGTTGTTTCGGTTTTACGTGGGGAAAGAGTTTCCTTGTGAAGGGCTTTCCTTAACGATTTTATATGCCGTACATGGGGCCTTTTCGGTCCCGAGCTGTTTTTGCCTGGACGTTAGAGGGAGAGAGATTTGTTGTGCCCTCCCGGGGCCTCCATGCCCATCTGGCCTCGTGCACCATCCAGCCTTATATGCGCCCTGCCTGTTCTTTCGTACGCAGCTGGTCTATTTCACACTGATTCCTTTGGTGGGCCATCCCCGGACCTCCATGCGCAGCGGGCACGCAATGCCCTCCGGGATTTCAAGTGCCCTCCCTAGGCCTCCGTGCACAGCTGGCCCCCGCGCCCTCAGGCATTTCATGCGCGCTTCCCAGGCCTCCGTGCGCAGCTGGAGCCCCGCGCCCTCTGTACTCATGTGTGGCCTCCCCGGGACTCCGTGCGCAGCTGGACAACCGCGCCCTGCGGGCTTACGTGCGACCTCCCCGGGCCAGCTGTGCACGGAGGCCCGGGGAGTGTGTACATAAAACCGCAGGGCCTGGGGAGACAGCTGCGCACGGAGGCCCGTGGAGGGCGCACGTAAACCCGCAGGACCCGGGGGCCAGCTGCGCACGGAGGCCCG